GTCGCTTGATAACCGCAACTCTTAGGATCATCGTGATTTCCAGAACCAGTGGATGTAAAACTCTTTTGATGGGGGACGTTGGAAGATTGCAATAAGATAAAAACAACCACAACCAGCCTAAAGCCAGATGAAAATGCCCCATGATGGACAACATACCATGTGCGTGTTAGTTCCAAAAGATAACTCTGAGGTTATAGCCCAAGCGATATAAGCAACCACAGAGTTTAACGGACGGATGACCTTGCGTACAAATGCACACCGTTGCTACGCAAAGGTTGTCTCAGGATGCTGTTGAACCAATCTGAAGGTAACGGGCAAGGAACTTCATCAAGTATTCCCTTGTTGCCTACCTTCTATTGCCATCACTAGAACCCACAAGGAGGTTCGCGTAAATGACATTCAGCATGGATATCTTTGACTGCGTCTGAACGGAGCATAGTCTTTTCACCACCGGAATTTCCCGAGGACAGTAGCAGTAACGCAAGTAGCAACATCGCTGGGTTGGGTCTTGCGAGGAGATCATCAGAAATTCGGCTACCTCTGAGGTTTGAACCCGGGCACCAGGAATTCGGTCCTGTCACATTCGCCTGGTGGCCTGCACTGAAACTTATAATGAACTGCGTTCAACCTGATGTTGAACGAGTAGATATTAGTCATAAGCGGTTTAGATCTAATCCTGAACGACTTCAGTATGAGTGTGCAAGTGATACTGTGATTCCATCAGACCTATCGCAATAGCTCATGCACCAGCCTCGTGATGAAGGACAGAAGTAGTAGAATAGAAATCCAACGAGTCTAGGAAATATAACATGCAGGCGTTCTGTCGACAGGTGTAAGATCGTAAATAGACACCATACCAAACGAAACAATGGACCATCACAACACACAAATCACTGAGGGCTTCGAACATCGACCGTGCAAAAAAGACAGATTTCGAAGACTTAGGGGAGCATAAACGCCCATTGAGCAGGATGGCTTGGGTCTACCGAATGTGAAAGCTGAACAGTCGGCGCATGATAGGAAACCTGGTCGAAAGTCAACAAGAACAGAAAACCTCGAAAAATTTGAAAACTTGAAACGGACAGATGCTCGAGTTACTCAAAAAACAAACTGCTTTCCGCGTGTTTTGCACTGAAATCACGAATTCATGCAACAGCAGACGAATGGAAGCGTTTATCTGTGGTACTAACATATTACTCGCTTCGCACACATTCCAATGGTGAGAACAAAACCTACTGGGTGTGCAGCTATCAGTTGGAAAAAACAAGACGTACTTATATACTCTCTCAATGACATTCAAAAGAAAGGACCAGCGAGACCAACACATTTAGTAGCATTCTCTCGACCGATCATGAGTTAATGTTTAGATTATACCTAATGAGCACCGACGCCGTTGATCGACCCTCCGGAAATACAGTTCCACAAAATTAAAAAAAGCGAAGCTTCCATTAAACAAAACCGTGACCCCTAGGAAAATAGAACGCAGCTGGGTCAGTGCAGAGCGATGTAAGAACAGAAATTGTCATTCCAAAAAAACGGATAACTGGGTGCATGCAATATAAACGGTGATCCCAAGAAGCAGGCGGGGGGGAGCTGAAATCTATGGCAGTCCATGGACCAAACAGGGCGTGCGAAGCAATTCGACTCACCTGATACATCACATCAGTTGCGACCTAGGTGAAATATAATGTGATGGGGAGCACAAAAATACCGGGTATTGTAAGGAGACTGCAGGTCGCGCGTGGAGTTTGTGAGCAAATGTACTGCGGAAAAATCCAAGCGAGTTATGGCGCGACGGTAGTTCACTATTCGGAAATGGAAAGCCGAACGTAATACAACATAGGAACCAACAGGAGAGAAAAGCAAACGGGTTAAACAAGACGAAAGTTCCAAAAGGATGCGATGCGTGAACAGCGCTAAAGCACCAAAAACTGTTTCACAACGAAAACATAGTAAATCAAGTCAATCAGTCAAGACAGGGGCTAAAGACAGGTGCATGAAAAAGTGAGATCTAAATGTGAGATCTAAATGTGAAAAATCGACAAGTATGGGGTGACAAATGTGAAGATCCATGTGCTTAAAAGAAAACAACCCGATCGGAGGGCAAGTGAGCAGAAACGTAAAACGATTTCCAGGTAAAAGCATGTTTGGGTCAACTGTGTGGAGAAAGACAGATCGGTGTATGGAGCGTAGAAGATCGATCACGCGGCGTGGTGCTCAAACTATCACCTGGGACTAATTGATGCAATCAGTATGACTAAAATGGCTCGAAATGGGATGCAGATAAGAAGAATTATGAAACGAGCAAAATCTCGTTTGTTTTCAGATTTCACGAACCACAAGAAACTTTGATGGAAGTTGAAATAGTATTAATAGTTGGATACATATTTTAATGGAATGTGAAACGCCATGACTATGGACGAATTCCCGGGTCCTGATCATTTTAAATACGAACATAAGGTGTTAGCAAAGGCAAAAACTTTAGTGAAACTGTGAGTGATACTAACACCATCGGTCAACACATAACTCAGCCATCAAGAGAAGTGATGCAAGCAAATGTTTTTTAACTGGATAGAGCTGTTCTGCTCAAGACCGGTTAAATGGAAACGAGAATAAATGCGCCAGTTCAACATCAATTCTACAAATGGGAAATAGATCGCTACTCACAAACCTCACTCGCGGCTACCTCTGAGGTTTGAACCCGGGCACCAGGAATTCGGTCCTGTCACATTCGCCTGGTGGCCTGCACTGAAACTTATAATGAACTGCGTTCAACCTGATGTTGAACGAGTAGATATTAGTCATAAGCGGTTTAGATCTAATCCTGAACGACTTCAGTATGAGTGTGCAAGTGATACTGTGATTCCATCAGACCTATCGCAATAGCTCATGCACCAGCCTCGTGATGAAGGACAGAAGTAGTAGAATAGAAATCCAACGAGTCTAGGAAATATAACATGCAGGCGTTCTGTCGACAGGTGTAAGATCGTAAATAGACACCATACCAAACGAAACAATGGACCATCACAACACACAAATCACTGAGGGCTTCGAACATCGACCGTGCAAAAAAGACAGATTTCGAAGACTTAGGGGAGCATAAACGCCCATTGAGCAGGATGGCTTGGGTCTACCGAATGTGAAAGCTGAACAGTCGGCGCATGATAGGAAACCTGGTCGAAAGTCAACAAGAACAGAAAACCTCGAAAAATTTGAAAACTTGAAACGGACAGATGCTCGAGTTACTCAAAAAACAAACTGCTTTCCGCGTGTTTTGCACTGAAATCACGAATTCATGCAACAGCAGACGAATGGAAGCGTTTATCTGTGGTACTAACATATTACTCGCTTCGCACACATTCCAATGGTGAGAACAAAACCTACTGGGTGTGCAGCTATCAGTTGGAAAAAACAAGACGTACTTATATACTCTCTCAATGACATTCAAAAGAAAGGACCAGCGAGACCAACACATTTAGTAGCATTCTCTCGACCGATCATGAGTTAATGTTTAGATTATACCTAATGAGCACCGACGCCGTTGATCGACCCTCCGGAAATACAGTTCCACAAAATTAAAAAAAGCGAAGCTTCCATTAAACAAAACCGTGACCCCTAGGAAAATAGAACGCAGCTGGGTCAGTGCAGAGCGATGTAAGAACAGAAATTGTCATTCCAAAAAAACGGATAACTGGGTGCATGCAATATAAACGGTGATCCCAAGAAGCAGGCGGGGGGGAGCTGAAATCTATGGCAGTCCATGGACCAAACAGGGCGTGCGAAGCAATTCGACTCACCTGATACATCACATCAGTTGCGACCTAGGTGAAATATAATGTGATGGGGAGCACAAAAATACCGGGTATTGTAAGGAGACTGCAGGTCGCGCGTGGAGTTTGTGAGCAAATGTACTGCGGAAAAATCCAAGCGAGTTATGGCGCGACGGTAGTTCACTATTCGGAAATGGAAAGCCGAACGTAATACAACATAGGAACCAACAGGAGAGAAAAGCAAACGGGTTAAACAAGACGAAAGTTCCAAAAGGATGCGATGCGTGAACAGCGCTAAAGCACCAAAAACTGTTTCACAACGAAAACATAGTAAGTCAATCCAATCAGTCAAGACAGGGGCTAAAGACAGGTGCATGAAAAAGTGAGATCTAAATGTGAGATCTAAATGTGAAAAATCGACTGGGGTGACATGACAAATGTGAAGATCCATGTGCTTAAAAGAAAACAACCCGATCGGAGGGCAAGTGAGCAGAAACGTAAAACGATTTCCAGGTAAAAGCATGTTTGGGTCAACTGTGTGGAGAAAGACAGATCGGTGTATGGAGCGTAGAAGATCGATCACGCGGCGTGGTGCTCAAACTATCACCTGGGACTAATTGATGCAATCAGTATGACTAAAATGGCTCGAAATGGGATGCAGATAAGAAGAGCAAAATCTCGTTTGTTTTCAGATTTCACGAACCACAAGAAACTTTGATGGAAGTTGAAATAGTATTAATAGTTGGATACATATTTTAATGGAATGTGAAACGCCATGACTATGGACGAATTCCCGGGTCCTGATCATTTTAAATACGAACATAAGGTGTTAGCAAAGGCAAAAACTTTAGTGAAACTGTGAGTGATACTAACACCATCGGTCAACACATAACTCAGCCATCAAGAGAAGTGATGCAAGCAAATGTTTTTTAACTGGATAGAGCTGTTCTGCTCAAGACCGGTTAAATGGAAACGAGAATAAATGCGCCAGTTCAACATCAATTCTACAAATGGGAAATAGATCGCTACTCACAAACCTCACTCGGTTTTGCAAAGAATAAGAGATGAGAACAGTATTGTGAACAGCAGTGGACAGGTTAGAGGTGCCAGAAGCAGAACGTCGTAATACACCACAGTACCGTCAGGCTCATATTACTTAACATCTGTAGAGGCAAAGACCATAGGAAAAAACATAGTATTTACTATTGCTTCGAACTGAGAGATACTCACAGCGGCGTTCGCATTAAGACGGTTGATGAGCGACGTCAAGATCGGATAGGAATCGTGGTTTGATGTGACAATAAATCGAAGGAACAGTTTGAGGAGAAGCGGGTCAGTCAAACGCCGAAGAAACAGTTCCAGATAAGCCGTTGCCGCAACCACCTCGTCGAGGGCACTCTGTATAGAATTTGAGAGGAAAGATAACGAAAAGTAAAAACGCCCGAAGTCCAAGTAATAGACACGTCAAAACTTCAACGAGGTTGTAACTCGAGGAACAGGGTCCATCACAATCACCAACATTCATGATAGCAAGAAAAGCAGCAGTCACAACTGACGCTTCAATGCAGTTATTGACGTGTTAAATCTTTCCCCAGACTACGATCACCAATTCAGATGGATCCATTTCTCTTCAGACGGTCTAGGACCGAAGGGAGTAGTGGTCCATTTGTTAGAAGTATAAGGAAATCTAACTGAAAAATCTAACTGAACAATTTTAGGGACAAGCTGGATCATCCACGGCTTTCACGAATACACCTTGTGACATCTTGTGCGTAAAAACACAAAGCATAGTGCCGTACATGCTTGTTTACCTCTCTCTACGCAAACGAAAACCAGAAGATGAGAAGTTCGACCTAAAGGTCGAGGTAGGGTCATCACGTTCTGCAGAGTTCCTTACCACATCGCCATAAATGGCGAAAATCCCAAGGTGTAGTCTTATAAAGTAATCCTTCCTTACCACAGCATCCAGTGAGGCGGCCGTTGAGTAGATTATGTTCTGTGAAGCCATGTGTAGACAAACCGTTGTATCGTCACACAGAATGTGGATAGTAGTTTCGGGGGAAAGCTTTTCTAAACTCCATAACTTGGGTGTACCGGCACGACTGATGGTGTGGCACGACAATCTTGCTCTTGGCCAATCCAGTTGATTACCGAATTCCACTTCAAGAATTGATTCCTTCTACACCCCAAAACCGATCGATTCCCTTGCACAGGTCTGTCGACCCTCAACTTGACTACCTTCTTGACCTGGTTTATGTTGGCTGTAATGTCATACACCAGGTCGCATTCAGAGACAATGGTTGCTCCGTGCACGGGAATCAATACCAAGCACACGCGACCGTCGGATAAAATAGTTGTTTCTATTTAGCAAGCTCACGGTTGAAAACAAGGGAAGAATCCTTGAATGAAACTGTTCACAAGGTTTCTGGAAACCTTTCTACAGTCCACGATCGGTTTCACCCTTCTCGGTCTCATCATCCACGAGTTTTCCCCAATCCTACGTACTACTTAAAATAAGCGAAGTATGCTCATTTGCACACCACTCTGGTTTAAACGGAAAACTCAAACGAATCCTAGCAGAGTTTCTCGCATATGATATTCTTCGGCTGAATGTGTTGCACACAGGCCACCTTATGTTTAAGTTGGCACGATATACGAGATATCGTAATCCATTTTCTTGACTGGAAAGTACCAAGAGATTGGTTGTACAGGAAACAAGAGATTCCGGTGGGATCCGCTTGAGTCTCTCGTTAGAATCAAATGAGTGTATTTCGCAAAGGGTGGAATTTCAAAACGATACAGAGGTAGCCAAAAACACTGTCTTTAGCGGTTGATCACTCATAACTTCTACAGAGCCACTAAAGAGGGTGATATTGACGCTCTGTCGCTTAGTCGCCGACTACACACTAAAAACGACCATCCTTCCCTTGGTGATTAACCCAAACGGTAGTCTAACGGTTCATGAAGCAACGTGTACCACCTGGATTACAACGAGGTTCGATGCACGTGGCATCGATTTTGATACATTGAGTATCTATTGAACAAACAGGCCCACCCAAGCGCTCACAAAAAATTCTATTCAAATGGCAGGTTTGCAGGTCAATTGCCAAGCCAGCCGAACAGATCAACAGCCATCTGATCAACTGCCCACAAAGAAACCAGAGGCTGGTTCCAGATATCCCGCTATATGAGACCAGCTTGGTGCAAATGCCAGCTTCGGTTGCACGCACATTTGGTTTCGTTTCAACGAACTGAAATATCGGGATGCGCAAATCATATCGCATTTATTTAAACATAAACCGCAGTGAAATCGATGTCCAAATCACCCTGGCGTTTCAACCTTCATAATGAGGGACTACTCAGTGAAGCACTACAAAACAACAAACAATAACATTCTTACAATATATGAAGAACAAGACCAATCCTTACAGTGTGACGAAAAATCGAAGGTCCAGAGACCCAGAAACAACCGATCCGTACCCAGGATGAACGATAGGGAAAACGTTGAGAATTTTTTCTTCGACGACAGATAATTTTATGGTTTCTTAAAAGTACAAAGCGGATAATGGGAAAATCCATTTGGGTAGCTCTCAATCAGGGAGCTCTTTCCGCAGGCTGACCGTTGAACAGTAATTTGAGTACACACGGTTTTGCGTTATAACTTGAATGGTTATTGATAGACATAAAACTTTGTAACGGTAGAGCTACATAGTTTGTGCTTACCACCACGGGATCCTAATACCCACCAAGTCACCCAAGCCGTACCGAGACAACGCGCACTAGGCGTAAGGCAAAATAGGCCAGTGCATAAGTGGGGAGAAAATCATCGATGTGAAGCCGCTTTCGACTGTGTGGTGGAACACAAACAAAACATAACAGGGATGTGACCTCGAATAGACGCAATCGACTACGAATAGGGTTAGTGAAAACTGTCCGATAGCCCATGACCAGTTTGGTCCTTTTTGAGGCTGATCGGGTGAGCGCAATCCCCGAGTTTCCGTTGATCACATGTTCCTCTTGAACCCAAATTGCACGAAATTCGACAGATACGCTCAACTGCATACTAATTTGGTTTTCACCGAAGGCTCACATGAATCCCAGCTGAATACCCCGGTCATTCAGTTGAAGAACAACATTCAGCTGGGATTCAGGTGAGTCTCTAGCAAAAAACAAATTCGCATGCAAACGAGTGTATTTGAGGGAAATGACCCGCTCATTGTCTTCCAAACCTAAGGGGAAATCTGCAGCATTTCAATCGATTTATAAGCCATAAATCGTGTACCATGAGCACAGTGGTTTCAGCTGCTACGGTTTCGAGTACCGGAAAGTTGGAGTGTGGAACATACAGCCAAGCCTTAAAGGCGACGGCGTGATCACTTAGTTCGGGAATCGGGTAGCTATGCATGGCGAGAGCTTTGATGCCCACGCGCCACTGACTGCGTGACTGGGCCATTTCTGCCGGTATCCTGAACCATTAGTTAGTTGGGTCCAGCGGTCCCCATCCAGGGAGGCGGCAGACGACCATCCGACAGAGTTTACTTGTCAGTGTTTCCACGCTTCGTTGCCAGGTCTTACACTACCCACCTCTGGATCGCCTCCACTCGGTACTCACCTCTGCGAAGCAGGCGGTCTTCTGGAATGCGCAGTACATGTCCTAACCAGCGTAAACTATGAAGGGTGAGTAATTCATCTATCGCGGGAGGGTTGCTTCTTCTTAAGACCATCTGGCGAACCTCAGCAGTGCTAAGCCGAGGTTTCCACCAGACACGACCAATGCTTCAGAGACACCGACGGTCACACAATGACAGTCTTCGTATGTCCTCTACGCGTAGAAGCCACGTCTCTGATCCATAAAGTAGTATGGATCACACCACCACCGTGTAAACTCTTCCCTTGACAAAAAAACTAACGTCACGTCGGCACCATAGGTGTCGGAGGTTCGCAAAAGCTGCCCTGGTTTTCCTGATTCAAGAAATAATCTCATATCCACCAGGTACACCGGAACTTATACAGTTGCCCAGGTAAACAAATTTATCTACCACGTCGATTGGTTTGTCTTCAAGCATGAGGTTTGGGTTTGAACCCACTCAGTCTTGTAGCAACACTTTAAAATTTGTAGGCGTTAATCCAATGCGACAGAATTATTTAGGTTATTAAAAATGGTTGGCATTTTTGAAGGATCTGAACCAAGGAAAGCATATTTAATGTTTCTGAGAGAATATCTCGAGAGCATTTCGACCCCCGAGGCTTCGCAAGCAGGTGGGGAAATTTCAAGCAGCATATCGATAACAAATTTGATGAGGAAAAGTGAAAGAAGACAACCTTGTCTTACACCACTTAACGTGATGAACTTAGGAGATAGCTCGTACCGGTACGTATCCACAAAAACTCGAAGAATGCCCTCATAAGGGATATAAACTTGAATAAAACAACTCTTATAGCCAGAAAGTGTCAAAGTTTCTGACGACCGACAGTTTTTAGATCAAGAAAAACGACGAAAGTGGGATTTTTGAAGGAGTGGGACTGTCCGCGAATTTGCTTCAAGGTAAAGATATGGTCAATGCATCCTGGACCAGGGCGAAACCCAACTTGATTTTCACGAATTGGTTTCTCCGGATAATCGAATAATCTACGCATAATAACTCCAGAAAGCATCATAGACGCGACAGATACCACACAATGGTTACCGAATGACGTTCTTGCGCCTGTTTTGAAAACTGGGATGACGCTCGAGAAGCCCCATTCGGCCAGTATTTTGTTTTCGTT